GAGCGACGTCAGCTGTCCAGGGTCTAACCTCTGTACCACCTGACCCGCAGGCCATTAAAGTCGAGCAGAAGGACTTCAGACGGACGTTCTTCTTCTTCGCCGTCAGGTGAGCGGCTCTTCGACTGGTAAACGTCTGCGCTCAGGCCTGGCGGTGCTCACAGCATAAAAACAACAGCTCTGTAGATTCTATTATTATTAATATTATTATTATTATTGTTGGAGTAAATATGACTGAAGTGTGATCAGCTGTACAAACACAACACAACTGAACTGAACTCTACTGAAAGCAAGAAAAGGAGTAAACAAAACCTCTGTGTGTCTCTGAGCCCTGAGGTTCGCCAAAGTGCTTCTTGACGCCATGCGCTGACCGACCGGCTTCGCTTCCCGCCACTACTCTTATTGCCGTGAACCCCGACCGCCCCGATGCGCCGAGTCAAGGAAGGGAGGGCAGCTCTGTGGGGGCGGTCAGGGGTCCTTCCTTAAAGCCGATTGGTTGGTCGGTGTGACAGCAGTTAGATCCGAGCGTTGAGCGAAGAAGTGTTTCCGCCCACTTCTCTGTGTCCGTGACATCGGCATGAGCGGCTGTCACGTGATCATCAGTCCAATCAGCCAACGACCAGCAGCGTTCTTAAAGGACCAGACCCGTGTTTCCCTTCAGCTCGAAGGATTCCCGAGCCTCAGAGGAGAGGTGCATTCTGGGTAAGAGAAGGAACCTGATAAACTCCGAGCACGGTGTCAAACATACGGCCTGAGGGCCAGAATCAGCTCGCCCAAAGTAAAACCTGCGGCTGGTGTGGACGCAGGTTTGTGACGCACACTGTTAATCGCCGTGAGAGCGCTGGTGGGACCTATCATCAGTTTAACCGGACAAAACGCCGCCGCACACTGAGAAACCACCACAAAGCGGGACGTTACGCCAGAGCCACCAAGACGGCTCGATTAATGAGAGATGAATTATTCAATATGAATTTAATGATGCTTGAAGAACCCTAAAATCTTCCATCGATCGTGAATCCACTTTGTTAGTTTGATGAGGATCAGAGAAGCTTATCTGTGTTTCTTTAACAAAATAGTTTAATTTGTGTAACTTCACTGGAGTTTCGCAGTTAAGCGTCACGAACAGGCTCAAACCTCCTTTTTACATCAGAACGACTGAAAATCAGAACTAATGACACGAAAAGACGTCATAAACCAGCATGAGGACAAACACGGTGGCTGCTCCTCGAGCGTAACTGGAACAGAGCCGCTCATCTTTAAGCGTCGCCGTCACTTCTGTTTTATTTCCTGCTTCTTTTATTCCTCAGGTTTTCCTCACGTCTCTACTTCGTCTGCACCTCAGCCTGATTACAGATTTGGACTTTGACCTGTCTGCGCTGCTCTAAACACACTGGTTTTACTGGTTTCATCTGCTCTCAGCTCAGACTGTAGCTGCTAGAAACCCTTTCAGTATAAGAGCCTCAGCGTGAACAGAACTGAACCTAAACAGACGCCGTTCCTACGTTCAACTGAGCGACAGCCGAGAGGTGTAAAAACACGGGCGTGGTCCTTTAAACGCTGACGGGCGCTGACGTTCATCAAAGTCCTGAAACAGAAACACGAGGAGCTCTCCGGAGTCGTACGGTAGAAAACCAGCATCTACACGTCCTCAAACGCACCGCGATGACCTCACACAGTGTCCGTGGTGTGTCTGACACGGTCAGTGAATGCATCATCAGAGTCCGGTGTGTTCAGGTACAGGAATGTTCTGGAAAGCTCTGATGTGTGAGAAAGTGTCTGACTCGATGAAATGCATCCAAACTCGTATCCGGGAGTTTGGAAAACTGGACCGGGTCCACACCTGCAGCTGCTCCTCAGCCTGTGGACGCTCGTGGATCTCAGAGCTGAAGAATCCAAGATGGCTGTTAAAGAAAC